AACTAAGCAGACTTTTAATGTCAGCCCATGGCCTGCTTAGCTCTTTGTAAGCTTTTCAAAACTGAATACAGAGAAATTAGATAATTTGCCCAAGCTTGCAAGCTTGCAAAAAGCGAACAGAATTCAAACTTGACAGACTCCAGAGACCCCACTCTAAGCTACTATGCTATGTTGCCTCCCTAGAGGAGCCTAAGAACTCAGTAACCTCAATGTCAACTTAAAATTCTAGGTACTGTTAAAACCCTCAGAAATAGCCCTGTATCTTAAATAAGAGGTATTGCTATAGGACAGTTCTCCCCTAAAGAGGAAAAGATAATATTTATTTAATGGCTTTATTGGATGCTTGTCACATGCTAAGCACCATGGAAGGCACCTTATTTAATCCCCATAATCTCCCAGAAGGAGGAATCATAATCCACATTTTTACAAATTAGGAAACTAAGAGCAAAAAAAAGATTGTTTTCTGATAAATTCACAGACTTAATATACCAGTGGGGTGATGGAAATTACAGACTACATGCTCAGATATGCAAAATTTTAACCTTATTTCTGTGTCTGAATCAAAATCAAAGTTAGTAACAAGCCCCCATATTTCCATTCCTGGGAGAGAATAAAGTGTCATTACAAGATTACTCAGTCACTTCAGGTATAAAATATAACCAAAAGTGTTCAATTTCATTAGTCATCAGGGAAATTCAAATTAAAACCAGGAAATAATGCCACTATACACCACACAGCACAATTAAAATGAGTCAGATAATACCAAATGTGGACGCGCAGCCAGGAGAATTAATTCACTACTGGTAAAAATTGGTGTTTAGTTTGGAAAACTGCTTGGCAGTATGAATGATGGGTGCTGCAGCCCACCAGAAGTGATTGTCAAATTTCATGAAGTGTTGTGAGCCTGTTGATTTCACATTGGTAGCTTGAAATTAGATAAGAGTGGGGTATTTACATCACAGGAACTGGCAAAGATTATAAATCAGCACTCACCCCAGAGCCAGTTTAAAATTTGCCAGCACACCATTGGGCAGTATACACTATGCTCTACATATACAGAGGGTGCCAAAAATGTATACATATTTTAAGAAAGGAAAAGCCTGTATTAACTGTAATAATATATACCGATAACAAAAGATGAATACAAGTCACGTTTGACTTCTGCAATTACAAGAGGTACTCACAGTGGTTACCATCAGCATCCAGACACTTCTGGTTATGGCGAACTACTGCTTGAGCATAGATAACATCTCAAAATGTGTATACATTTTTTGGGGCACACGCAGTACATATCCTAAGACTCAGTTAATCCATTTTTAGGTATATATGCTTTAGAAATGTGTACATGTGTGTATGTTGACCAAAAGCCATGTACAAAAATGTTCATAGCAGCACTAAATATAATAGCCTTAAACTGGAAACCCAAATATCCATAAATAGAATTAATGAATTGTCATGTACAGTCAGTGGAATACTATGTAGTGATAAGAAAGAACTGCCACATGTGACAAACCAGATGAATCCCACAAAATGTTGGAACAAAAGACCAAACAAGGATACATACTGTGTGATTGAACTTATATGTCAAAACAGACTAAATTAACTCTGATGTCAGAAATAAGGGAAGTGATTGAGAGGGAGGGAGAGCAGCTAATGACGGGATGAGACACAAGGACTGTGAGGTGCTGGTACTGTCCTCTTTTTCTGTCTAAGTACTGGTTATAGAACTGTTTATTTTGTGAAAATTTATGAATAAAAGGTTCAATTAAAAAAATTAGTCACTTCCATAATTGGACATCTATGTGCAAATAAAAAGAACTTCAAATCAAATCTCATACCTTATACAAAAATTAACTGAAAATGGGTAATAGATCTAAAAGAAAAAACATGAAACTAAAACTTCAAAAAAGAGGACAAAAATCTTCATGACATGGGGATAGGCAAAGAGTCCTTAGACATTACATTAAACACATGATCCACCCCCCAAAGAAAAAATAGATAAATTACATCTCAACAAATTTAAATACTTTCATTCTGTTAAAGAGAATAAAAACACAAGCTACAAACTGGGACATACCTGACAACAAATTTTCATCCAGAATGCATTTCTTGGTTTTAATAAAAATATTATAATTATGCAAGATGTAACTATTAGGAAAAGCTGAGTATTTTTATAACTTTTTGTGAGTCTATAATTAGTTAAAAACAAACAAGGTAAATTTAAAAAAAGTTATTGGTACTTTTATCTACCAGACTGCCTATTTTCTACATCTTTGATTGGTATTCTAAGTATATTCTAACACAAGGCTAATACGGGTATAACTGATAAGCTTTTCCAGAGAGTAATTTGGCTAATCCAAATCAAGTTATTAGAATGTGCAACCATTTGACAAAGAAATTCCATTTCTAGGAATTTTTCCTAAGAAAGTAATCAGAGAGAATATATAAAAACCTAAATACAATGCTTTTTTTCATAGTTGTTTAAAACAGTGAAAACTTGGGAAAAACTTAAAAATTAGAAAAAAGTGGGGACTAGTTAGTAAATTACAATACACCCAGAAGACAGAATATGATATAGCCATAAGAAATTAAGCCATAGAATAATATTTATTGACATGGGAAAATGTTAACAATATATTTCTATATGAAATATCAAGATACAAAACAGTATATACAGTTTAATACCATTTTTATGGAAAGAAAAATAGCATATGTACAAAATCATGCATGTGAAAAAAATAGAAGGATATGCATACCAAATGTTACTAATGGTTATATTCAGATAGTGGAACTAGAGGCAATTATACAATTTTCCCAATAAATTTCACCTTCCCTACCAACAGTATCTGCTTCATGCTCTTCTTTCTTGGTTGTGATTAATTTGATATAGCTCTCTTCGAATAAGCTCTGTTTCATATGTACCTCCAAATGCTATTCCCATTTAAAAAGTAGATGCTACTTGCTCTTGTATTTTGGCATATGGAGAATATTTTTAACTAATACAGTATACTATAAAATATGCCACGGCATAATTTGGCTATAGAAAGTTATTATTTGGAGAAGTTGAAAATCCTAATTGAGATAAATTTTAAAGAGAAAAAAGATACTATCATTAGTTAGGGGTCCAAATGGTAGAGTGTGGAATAACTCAATTTCCAGAATTGGAGATTTTTAGATCTCTCCTTACTAACTGACTGGGCATAGGAGATTAGGGTTTTTAGTCAGGAAAATGTGATTAATAATTTTGTAGAAAGAAGCAATAATAAGATTGTTTTTAAATAAAAGGAAAATGAGATCCCAGCTATAAAGGTTTTTTATAAAGACCTACATAAGTATTACATAAAACAGCAAGAAAGAAATTCAAATTTGCTGGTGCAGAAAAATTAACTCATATTTATTTTTCTGCAACACCAAAGTCTTACTGTTTTATATCTTCTATCACAGGTTTGATATGCTAAACTTGCAAAATTATTTTAATTAATAGCCTTTAACTTTACTTATTTTAAGTTAACACAAGGATACTTAATTTTTCACGGAATCTGAGGTAAAGTGTTGTAAATACATGTCATCCTCTGATGACTTGGTAACAGGTAACATTAAACAAATAAATATAATTTAGATTTTATTTCTCAGAACCCATCCTAATGTAAAGCTATTTACTAGATTCTTATTAAAAATAGCAAGTAAGGATTTTTTTAAAGGTAAAACATCAGAGAACAGAAAAAAAAAAAAACATGTCTGTGTCCACTTTTCTCTGATGCTTCCCATGCTCCCACACCATCCCAAGTTGCCTCCTAATTTCTGTTCCTTCTCTTTGGAAGGGAACGTTAGGTAAACCCATATATATATATATATATAAAATTATATATATAATTATAATCAATTGGAAAGGGAATGGTTGATGACTTGTTACATCTCAAAGGTAAACTTATTGTCTAGATGCTTATAGGTAAACCACACAACTTGCAGATGAAAGGAACATAAAACACTGATGAAAAGATTTGACAAGAATAGGGGGGAAAGAGGGATTTTGTTTTTCCAATCAGAGGGCTTGTTCCTTCTCTCCACAAAGCAATGGAATTGAGAAAGATGGCTGGAGTGCAGAGGGGAAACGTGCATCACGTTTCCATAACGACACAACATACTCTTGCCCTATACCAGTGTTGTTCTGCCACCTCTATCTATCCATTCTATAAATGTCCTTAACCACAGCATAGCTTCTAGTACAGTTCTAATTCCTCAATGAAGATCACAAGAAAGGAACTTCTAGGTTATTAAAAGAAATGAGAATATTACACCAATACATTTCAGGGGTGGGAGGAGACTACTGACACTCTACATTTATTGTTCACATTACAAGAATTAAAAAAAGTAGAGGCTAGAAAATCACTTTTTGAAATTTCACAATCACCAATGTGCGACAGAAATTGAGGCATAACACTTATGCTACCAAATATGTTAGATGTGAATTACTTCAGCACATAACTGCAGATGGATACTCCTGGATTTTTACTTAATCAATCCATTACTCAATGATGAATGCTATAAAATGAAAGGTGACATACTTATGAACTAAAACCACAAGGAGAAACTCTCTAAGATCAATCTTCAGTGAGCTCCTATTCCAATAAGCCATAAAGAGCAGTAAAAGGCAATATTCATTTAACAAAATGAGAATCCCAATGACAAGAAATCAGGTATTTATATTCCTCCAGAGACATTTCTTCCTCACCTAACAAAGGCACTTGACATGTACTGAAATGAACAGTTAATTCAGGTACTGCTCTGAGCAACTGTTACTTTCCAAAAATTAGGTGAAGTGGTGATTAAGTTCAAATTAATCCTTTCAAATCAGCCTGAAACACACATGAATATATCACAAGTTCTCTATTTTTAGCAAATGATATAACCAAAGAAGAAAAGATAATGTTGGTGTCCACGATGAACTGGCCGACTTGAGCAGTCCAGAGTGCCCTCTCTGCACAATATATTCTTTAATGACTGTGGAATTTGTATGTAATTATAGGCAAATTAACCTTTCATATAGTTTCAGGTATTAGTGTTCACTCCTCTTCTTGTCCTTTCTTACTTTTTTGTTCTTTCCCAAAGCCTTAGATGATTCCTCCTGAAAAAGACAAAAATCAATGTAGGATCTTTTCATTTAAAGATACTAGCGTAGGAATCTTAAATCTAATCAGATAGAACGTAACAGTGAAAGTACAATTACTTCCATATGTATCATCTTTCTGTTTTATACAGCATTTTCACTTACAGTTTATTTAAATATTTACAAAACAATCAAGGATAATCAAGGAAAACACTCATTTATCTAATAGATTTATGCTTCAATAATTTCAATATTTAATCTATTATCTACTTTCCAAAGTAAGGCAGCAGGGTTTAAATTCAATACATATGAACATACTTATAAAATATGAAATAAAGAGAAACCCTTAAAGTGTAAAGGAAGAATGAATCTAAAGGCATCAGGGGAAAGAAGAGATGCTCTGACACTAACAAAGTGTTAGAATTTTATAGATGTTTAAAGAACATCTGAGGGGCCGGCTGAGTGGCTCAGGTAGTTAAGAGCGCGAGCTCTGAGCAACAGAGTCATCGGTTCGATTCCCACATGGACCAGTAAGCTGCGCCCAAGCTGCATTGCTGCTGAGCTGCCAACAGGTGGCAAGATGGCTCAGCTGGTGAGAGCATGTGCTTCTAACAACAAGGCTGCCAGTTAAACTCCTGCATGGGGTGGTGGGCTATGCCCACACGCAACTAAGGTTGAACACAGCACCTTGAGCTGAGAGGCCGCAAGCTGCTGACGGGCGGCCGGATGGCAACTGAACTTGGAGCTGAGCTAGCTGCGCCTTCTACAACTAAGACTGAAGAACCACAACTTAGCTGTTCCCCTTTCCCAGTTCTCCAACACTGCTCCTCTTCCCCAACTCCCCAATAAAAAAATCGTTAAAAAAAGAAAAAGAAAAAACATCTGATTCACTGTAGCATTAGCTGCAACCTCTCTGAGCCTCAATTTTAGGGAGCGTAAACTAATTAGTCTTTAAGGGTTTTATAAACTCTATGAATCTATGAAATTAAAGTTTGAAGAGATGAAGTCATCTGCCCAAGGTCATACAGCTGGACAGTCACACAGTTTTGACTAGAACATAAGTCTCCAGTTTCCTAGTCCAAAGGTTGTTCTAATGCACCACACAAATTCTGATTCATTCTTAATTTTGTCTTTTTTTAATTTCACAGGCAGTGGTGAGAAACTCTTTAGACATAATATCAATAATCACTTACTGGTGAATTTGTGTAGTTCTTCTCCACTAGTATGTTTCTGGCACAGTTGTTGATGTGTTTGAAGCGATCTGGTCCTAGCAGAATCCCTCCATACCAACGTGAGACTACCACCATGACATTTCTCACATTCAAAATCTGTTATTTTCAGAAGCATAATTAGATATACATATAGACATGTACAAATGTGAGTTTTAAAGGAGAATAGAATAACCCATATACAAAATTGCACATAAAATTTCCCCGACTTTAACGGCAGAACCACATGAGTGAGCAGAGTGAGACTACTAACAATCCAGGGGATAGAATGTTATAATGAGAAGAAAATTTGGAAAACAAACACTGTGCTCCACAGTGTCCTCAAATTCCAAACGTTGGGGCAACCAGGCAGAGTGAAGGGGAGATCATGCAGGTAGGGTTCCAGTTCTTGGTGACTTCAACCAGAAAAGCTGTTTAGACAGCCTTTTACTCCTGGACAAACCAACAACACAAACCCTACTTCTGAACAAACTACTAGAACGAACTGGGGCTGCGTGAGTAATCATTGATGCCTACCAGTAAGGTCTTCCTCAGTTTGGTATTTGTCAAATGCTGCCCTTAAAGTGAAGCCCACCAGTCTACAGGCCTGACCCACACACAGGGTTCCTATCAAGGGAATGGCCTGGTTAGAAAACAAACCTCCACATACAATAGCAGAAGAAACTATAACAACTACCTTAGGAAATAAAAAACAATCCATTCTTAAAATCAATGGACAATCAATGATCACCAGACAGATGAAGAAAATCCAGCAGCATGAAAGAGAAAGGACAAGATAAACAAACTAAAATGGACCAGGAAAAATTTAAGAGAGAGAACATCTTAAAACAAAACAAAAAACAAAACCCTCTATTTAGTATATTCAGAGAAATTTTAGAACATATTGCATCTATAAAACCAGAACAGCACACTACGAAAAAGGAAAAAGAGAAAAGAACTCTTGACACTTAAATACATGGTTGCTAAAAAAAATTTTTAATAGCAATTTTGGAAGGCAGTCAAGAAAATGTCTCAGAACATCAAGCAATGAGATGGCAACTTCATAAAAAAGAAACATTCTGGATCTATCCAGAAGGTCCAGTTCTCAACTAACAGGAATTTCAAGACAGAACACAGTAAATAAAGAGGAATTGTCAAAAAACAAAAAAAACAGTTTTTCCAGAGCTGAAGACAATCTTCTATTATCTATGACTGAAAGAGCTTGAAAACACAACACTTATTAACCCTTTGTTTTCTATCCCATATCCAATGGTTAAAATTTTCTCAGAGTTAAAAAATTAACTACTAATTAAACCAAATATAACTCATGTTATATGGTCTGATTTACTTATTCCTAAATGGAACTGTTTTGCTGAGAAATTTTATGGCTCATAGAACAGGATTTAACAGGGTTTAAGTTACACTTACTTCCATGAGATGGAGAAGACGCCCACCAGCTGCTGTTTCCCCATCATCTTCACAATCCTGTAAGAAGGTCTGTTTATCCTCACAATATATTCTAAAAATACATATAACAGTGTTAAGCTTTGAAATCTCAAAATATTATAATAAAAGTTACTCCTTCATACTTATTGCAATCAATTTACTTTCAAAATCAGCACGTTTGTTTAAAAAAAAATCCTTCTTCAACTACATATTAGATATATTTTCACTGATAATTTACTATCCAGTATGTTTCACTTTCTATATTTGAGAAAGCTAGGAATCAAGGTGTCTCCTTTAAATCAGAAACACTGTGATTATGGGAACGTGAGTTTACACATCTGAAACTTCCCTCACTTCATTTTACCTTAAAACTATGAGTTTATGTAGAGTAGTCACTGAAAAACATTTATTGAGAATATAACATACAGAATAACAGGTGCTGTGAAATGATATAAAAGAAAGACGTGACATACTCCTGTCTTCAAAGACCCTAAAATCTAGTGAAAGAGGCAAAAGTACATAAAAAAGACGGAGGTGATGAAACTAACAAAAGTTAATATTTTATACTTTTTTCACATCTTATTCTAGCCATCAAGTATTTCTCTTTTTTCCCCATTTTGAGTTAAGATTTATAAGATTTGTTTTTCTCTATATAATTTATCCTTGGAGAGTTATTAATATCAGAAACAAATCATGGCATTTTTACCCATTCAAATTATCTAGAAAGTCAGCACTTGGAATAATGTAGGACTTTGTAGTAGAATAAGCTTGACAAGTAAGTGTCACTATAAAAAGAAAACAGTGCCAGTTAAGGTATGCCATCTAGTGAATTTCTTAGGCCCCTACAAGTGGTACCATCTAGGACTAGGCAAATGTAGTAAAGATCTCTCTCTGGCTATGGCCATAAAAAGACAGCTACTACCTTATCTATACACCTAAGTCAATTAGGTTAATTTTATTATAGCAGTCATATTCATTCATTCATTCATTCATCTTTCCATCTATCCATTCATTCATCAATAAATACAGAGGGTGCCAAAAAATGTATACACATTTTAAGAAAGGAAAAAACTGTATTAACATTGTAATACTCAATATATACTGAAAACAAAAGATGAATACAAGTCACAATTGACTTCTGTAATTACAAGAGGTGCTCAAAGTTGGTTACCATCAGCGTCCAAACACTTCTTATTATGGCGAACTACTGCTTGAGCAATGTTGACCAAAGTGTCCACTTGTATACACTTTTTTTGGGGGGGAGGGTAGCACCCCCAGTATTTACTGCCCACCTACTATGACTAGGCTCTATTATTATTTAGAGTTGATTTTGTTTGACGAAAAGGAAGTTAGTACTATTAAACAAAACTTTATATGGCTAATATAGGCAAAAAGGAATCAGTAGCTGGTTTATATTAGGCTTATAATTATAATCTAACACAATAATTTTATGGAACAAGTGAAGAAAATCTGACCATATAAATCAGTACTGTTAGGTTTTAAAAATATGAAACACCATGGACATTTTCACTAACCCTTTCCTCCCATGCCAGGATGATAATGATGTGGCATCAGATAGCTGTGTGTACCAGTAGCCTAAAGAGCGCCCCATAACTCCAAAGCGGGAACACAGCCCCAGAACCAGGAAGTAACCTTAAAAGGACCCTAAGCATTCAAAACACACAATACAACGTCCACGTACCAAATAAAGGTCATTTATTTTACTCCCAATGGAGTCCTTCAGGCCTCAGCTCTGTGTCTTTTTAGTCTTATTTGACAACACAATTCTGAGAAGTTTATCTCTTTCATTCCCAAGTATCAATAATGCAAGGGGGTGAGGTGGAGAGGGTTGCTACATGTAGTCATGCTGACATTTATGAGACGTGACAGATAATCACCAATTAATATGCAACTGCGACAAAAATACTCACAAGAACATAAAGACCTAAAAATCTGGGGCCTGGAATAGACTATCCAGCACATTACTTAATGATTTGAAAACTTAAAATCAATATTATGTATAGCGATTGTTGAAGATGCGGCCTCATAGCCATGTAGAAATAAAATAGAGATAGGTGAAATTAGATTAGCAAATTCAGCTCTACCACTTAACAATTACATTATCTAGAAAAAGTTTCTATGGTGGCAGAGTTGCTGAAATAATCAGAATTAACTTTTATAAACTGCTTGGCACAGAGTAGGCACTCAGTAAACACATGGGATGAATGAATGTAAATATTAATACTTTTATAGCACAGTCTAATCACTGATAGCAAGCACAATCTAATTCCTCATTTTTATACTGATGACCTAACTCATAAGAAAACATCAAAATTCTGTCCAGTGTTACTCTGGAATTATATAACAAATAGTTTTTGTAACTTTTGGCATTTAAAGGGATGTGACTTAGTAATATTAAAAACTCACATATCCAAAGTGATGAATTTTTTTGAGTTCAGATTTTACAAATAGTCTCAATCGCATTTTATATTTGCACCAAATCCCTATGTCTATATTTTGATTTATTTCAATTTTAAACTATGTTCTTTTAAGTCTACTCATTTGCATATTTACACCATTCATCTCTTTGCAAACAAATCAGCAAAGATTTGTATAACACCTTAGCACTCAAAACTAAAAGGCATGTAGAAAAAGAGGCACCCTTAATTCATTGTTAATGGGAGCATAAATTGGTTTAAAAGAAAATCTTTGGAAAAAATTTGGCAGTATGTATCAAGAGTTTCAAAAGTGTTCATACTTTCTAATAATTCTACTTCTAGGAATCTTTTCTTTCTTCCTTTTTACCCTTGTTTCATTTCAAAAAATTATATGAAGCAACCAGAACCTATCCCAAGGAAATAATCTAAAATGTAAACCAAGATGTTCACGGGACTATCCTTTAGAATAGTGAAAAATATGAAAAACTAAAACAACAAAGAAAATGGCTAAACAAATTGTGGTTTGCAGCCTCAAACAAATATTATACAGCCACTAAAATAATGTTTATAAATGCAATTATAACAATATGGAAACAAGCTTTTGTTAAATTAAGAAAAAATAGAACATGCTAAGGTAAAGCATTGAAAAGGTAAACTTTGCATAGAAAAGACAGAAAATATATCAAAATATTGGGTTGTCGGAAAAGTCCTGATGCATTTTTGCAACGAAAAACATAGTAAAAATACGTCATGACTTTTCCAACAGCCCAATATTATCGGTTACATTTAATGGTAGAAATATGGCTAATTTTCCGTCTGACTTTTCTGCCGTTTCCAAATATTCTACACATGATTATTACTTTCATAATGTAAAAAACAAAGTTATTTTTTTAAATCATGCATCAGTTTCTTCCCTTTTTTTTACAAACTGCACATTCCTAAAATTGTGATGATCACTCACCGGTATGCATAAATGTTGTGGGTGGCACTAGCTATTTTCTTATTTTCATACAATTTGGCAAGAACCATTTTCACCTTAAAAACAGCAGTAATGTAAATAAATTAATGTATACTTTTTATTTGCTCTGTAAACAAATACTAGAAAAATATCTTAAAGCATATTTATATAAATACTATGATATTGAAACAGTTAAAGAATCTTCCATACTTTGAAAAAGCTATTTCCAAAGTTTTCTCCTCATTTTAGAGGCAGAAACTGGTACTCTCAATTGGTATAAAAATGCTGGACCTGGTGTTTTTGAACACCAATTATCAACATATATTTGAGCACTATGTCTATGGTGATTGAACATGAAATATTTTTCCCCATGTAGAGAATTTTAAATGTAAATATGAGAATTCCTAAAAATGAACACTGAAAATTTACCAACTTTATGTATCCAATGTGATAGGTGCACAATAATGGTACCAAATATTATAAAACCAACTCTCTCTGGGGATCATGTAAGGTTCACAGGGGAGGTAACATGAGCCAAGTCTTGACAGATAAGTAGCAATTTTTCTGCATCAAAAGGGAATAGGGATGTGGGGCAGAAAGAAGCCATTTCACTCAGAGGAAACAGCATGCGAAGATGTATCAGATTTAGCAAATAAAAATAAAGGATGTGTGGTTAAGTTGGAATTTCAGATAAGCCACAAATAACTTTTTATTATAAGTATGTCCCATGTATTGTAATGATGTTTATCTGAAATTCCAATTTAACTAGGTGTCCTATATTTTATCTGGCAACCCTATCAGGGACATAAAAGAAAAAGGTTCAGCAAGTGACCAACAGTTTTATGTAACTGTAACTTAAGAGTATGAATGAGAAAATGATAGAAGATACATCCTGAATGATAAAGCTGGAGTCATATCATAAATGCCTTTGTATAATAAGTTCAGGTTTTTCTTTAACAACTATGGATATCGTCAAAGACTGTGTGAAGGTGGAAGTGTGGGGGAGTGACGCATGGTCAGATCTTTTAGAAAGGTAACTGGCAAGGAGTGTAGACGAAATATTGCAGGTATGGAACGACTGAGTTGGAATCAGGAGACCAAATTGGATCAGAAATTGTGCAACCTTATGTTTATCATTTTTTTAACCTTTTGGATTCTCAAATTCCTGATCAGTAGAATAGACACTGGCCTCTAAGACCTATATCAGCTCTCACAAATTCTGATCCTGTAAATCTAAGTGTTACTATAATCAGAAACAGAAAGAGAATCCAGGATGAACAGATTCAGAATAGAATATCTAAGGAGTACCATGGGCAAAATAGGGTTCCTGAGAGAAAAACCCAGAAGCCTACACCAAAAGCTCTTATCTTGATCACAAGTCAATGCAGAGAAGAACTTCCTCTTCCAGAGACTAAACGAGAATGAAAGGGGAGCCTGGCACAAAGAACTGTATCCCTACAGGTCAGGTCTCTAGAAGAGTTTAGAAAGTAGAGGCGCTATAGAGGTCAAAAAGGAAAGACTAATGCTTAAAGCCTATGCTAAGTTAATGAGACTTTATTTTTTGTTAATTTAACTTTACAGGTAGTTCTGAAATGGCCTCTTACATCAATAAAGTTTAAACTAGGCTAGATTATAGCAGCAAGAAAGAAGAAAATGATTCTGCTGAAAAAAGAGTGAGAAAGACAAAGACCTAAAATACAGTTTTTGAATGAACAGTCTCCCATTTGATATCCCTGGGTAGGAATCAGATCACCTAAGATCGGAAAGCAGAAAGGAGAAAGAATTCAGGTCAGGAAGATGCGGCTCAGTCATGCAACAGGACAAATAATTCTTCTTAACAAGTTATGATACATCATAGTTTTCTACAGCACCACAATGGGGTTTTTATTGTTTGAAAATCCATTAGAAGGTTAAGCTCTAATTAGAGTTTAGATACGATTTTGAAAGCTGTGACAAAGAAACAAAACAAATCTTCCATGATTCACAGTAATTTAGGGGCAGGTAAATCAGCAAATATTTTTTAATCTTACATGAAAATTAAACGATTAATAATACTAAGGATATTACTTGAATTACTTTGGTAAAAAACATCAAAGTGAGCTGGACTTAGTAACTTTACCTGTTTGGGACAAACTACTGGAGCCAAGTGTGCCTGAAAAGTACTTCTTCGGTCTGTAATAGGAATGCCATGATCAATCGGAGGTAATTCTTCTATTTCTATAAATTTAAAGAATTATATTACTTTTATTTTTAAAACTCATTAATTCAAATAATAAAAAATTGGCAATGGTGAGGGCAGGGGTGGAGAGGGGAAGGAAAGAAATGTAAATTATATGGAAATAAACCCCAATCGCCATTTAATAGTTATCTATTAAAATTAAACTATAATTTTAAGTAAAAAGTTTCAAAATATATTGTATATAACATAAATCTATTTGCTAAGGTCATTCAGTGGAAGTGGTGGGTTGGGACTCAAATCGTGGACCGTTGCTGTGCTATGAGTTGGTCCAGTGTCTAATTTTTAAGAGTAAAGGGGTCCCAAGACCAAAAAGATTGACAGCTGTTAATAAACCATAATTTCTTTATCCATTCTACTGTTGATGGACCTCTGGGTTTGGAAAATTATGATTTTATTTTGTAAAGCTATAATATAATGTCTTCTGCTAATAAAACTGTTCCCACTTCATAGGATTGAATTGAATATATCAATAATGCATCAAGTTGGTATTCCATAGGGTATCATGATTTCCAATTATTTGCCTCTTAAACAAGTTTAAGAGCAACTAATTTACCCTAACTCTGCTGAAAAACTTACCAACCATCCTGGTTGTTGCACCTGCCTCATTTAGGATTAAAAGTTATTCAGGAGAAAAGAATTACAATTTTTCCTATTTCTATTCACTGATCTTTTGAATCTTACCAAGTCAGCTTGCTTCACAATTGAAATACTTCAACTAACACATGTAAAAAGATTTCTGGAGGGCTTTAAACAATTTTCCCCAAATCACTTCACTGGTTTGTAGCAGGACCAGGACAAGAAGCCAGGTTTAGCAGGATGTTTTACCTTGCCCCTGTAGTGTCCTCTTCTAAAATGGATTGTGACCACTAAACAGGTCCAGTACTAAGGTCAATATGAACTGGGTGTTATTTATTTATGACTGTGATTTTCACTCTTTTTAAGGGTGGATCCTGTTTCTCAAAAGAAATCTTATGCCAAATCCACAAAGACATAAACGAATAAAATGGGAGCTGCTTAGATTGAAGCTAGGCTAGGAGTCCTGGATCCTCTCCCACACTCTTCCAGTTCCTCCTCATCCCCTCCCACTAGTCCTGAGATACAATGCAAGAACTTCAAACCTTCATAATACTGTTTAAAAGCTACTTTATAAAAGCATAGGAAACTCCTTACATTTAAAAAAAAAAGAATGTTCCCTCTGATCTATCATGTTTTTTATAAGAGGCTTGAGGAAACTGATGATATCATTTAAAAATTTAAAATACTAAAATGGAACATATTTCTGATAGAAACATACAGCTGATTTACCACATCAAACTTACATAAGCTGAATACCACTTGACCATGGAACAAACTTGCTTAAGCAAAAACTAAAATCTTAAATTAAAGGCATTTTACTAGCTTAATTCAGTGGTTCTACTTCGATTATTTATTTTGTGAACATAGACAAAAATTTAACTCAGAGACATCAGGAGAGATCTGAGAACTTCAAAATAGAAATATAAAAACACAATGTGAATTGAAAACATTAACATAGCTTTTCTTAATTTCAATTTCGCCAATTACAATTCAAAACTCTAGAAAGTAGAAAAAAATGAAAATAAAGATAAGCTTTTTATTTTTTCCTTCACCACAATAGACCAAGCAAACACCAAAATGACTAGCAGGCAGGAGGAAAAAAACCCTCAGTACTCTGCAATTTAGTAACTATTTCCTAACACATGGAAGTTTACTTTCTAAACCATTTCAAAAACAATTCATAATACTGCGATCCCACTTTCTTCAAAAGAAATTAGTTAGTAACATTATACCTGTTCGATTTTCACTGATATCAAAACCCAATGCTTTAACTGGATTTTCTGGTTGACAGGCTAAAATGATATCTTCTTCACATTCAACATCTTCCTCTTCAGTTTTCTTCTTTACGTCTGGGCCTATGTGGGTATGAGACATTATGAGTGGTCTACAAAGACAACAAGAAATTAAACTTAACTAATCATTGGTCTTGGTCTCTAAACATCATTCTTCAATAGAAGGAATCAGGGCTTCCATGCAAAGTGGTTGATTCCAGGGTTGGAGCGAGGAACATGCAAGATAAACCTGGAATATTTTGTTTCGAGAAATTAAAAAAAATGCTCCAAGAAAGATGGAAGCTCATTAAAAGAATGCAGGAGCATAACCTAAAGGAGCTCCTAAAGGGACAATTTGAGCAAAATAATGATAGTACGAAATTTTAACCCACAGAACAAAATAATATACCGTATTTGCCGGCATATAAGACGATTTTTTGGCCCTGAAAAATATGCCTCCAAGTGGGGGGTCGTCTTATACGCCAGGTACACTTCAGATAG